TCCTCTCTCTCTCTGGAATGTCTTTCAGCACTCTGTAGGGTTGGGTTGGTGGCCATGAACTTCCACAGTTCCTCCTTGTCTTGGAAACATCTTATTTCTCCATTAATTTTGAGAGAGAATTTTTCTGGGTACATCAGTCTTGGTTGCAAATTATTTTCTTTCCAGGCTTGAATAATTTCTCCCCAGGCTCTTCTCAATTTGAGAGTTTGTGTTGATAAGTCTTGTTATTTTTATAATTTTCCCATTGTAGGTAATCTGTTTCTTTTTCCTGGCTGCTTTTAGTATTCTGTTCTTTTGGTGGATTTGTGGAATCTTGATTATTATATATCTGGGTGTAGATCTGTTTTGGTTGTAGGTAGCTGGAGTTCTGTATGCCTCATTTATCTGGATATCATTTCTTTTTCTTATGCTTGGGAAGTTTTCCTTTAATATATCCGTGAATATTCTTTGTAGTTCATATTTGGTTACTTCTGCTTCCTCACTCACGTGCTTTACTCTTAAGTTATGTATCATTTTGTCATCTTCTAGCCTTTGAATTGTTTCTTTCTGGTTCCTCATTATTTTTAAGAGTTCTTTTCTATAACATTTATATTTCATAAATCTCTCTTCAAGTTTCAAAAGGCTAATTTAGTTTCTGTCAAGACGTTTTGCCAGGTTTCAATAGAGTTTTTAGTTTCCTGTTAATCTCTTTGGATCTGTTTCATGTGTTCTAGGTTATGCTTAAATTCTTTAACAGAAGTTTTTCTTTTCAGATTTCCTTTCTACCATCTGTGTTCTCTTGGGAGGGACTTATCATTTCTTTAATTAATCTCTTTATTCAGCTTAAAGAGTTATTGCAAAATTACTCTTTTTTTTAATCGATAAAATCTCCCCAGAAGTCATCTTTCCTAAGTCCTTTCTAAGGGAGACTTTTAAACTATAAAATGTATTAATTTTGAAAACATTTTCCCAGTTATACATTCACTTTTATGTGAGCTTTTGGATCTCTTAAGGAATTTCTTTACTTCTGTCTATGTTATTGACTTTATTGGCAATGTTATTCACTATATTCCCTTATTAATGTTTGGAATTTGATTAAGGTTATATAGGACTTTTCTCTCTCTTCGTAGTAGTAAATTGTGTGTTCTATTTCACTTAAGTCTTAGAAAGGATACACCACTTTTGTTGATCTGCAAAACAAATAATTTTTATTTCATTAATTTTTCATTTATTTTCTTATGTGTTCTATTTCCTTTTGTGCTGCTTATCTTGGGTTGAATTTTCTCTTCTTTTTGTGATTTTATGGGGGACAAGTGAGACCTAATTTGAGATCTTTCTTTTCTAGTATAAATTTTAGTCTTATAAAATACCCTGTAAGCACTACCTTAATTTTATTCTCAGAATTTCAATATGCTATCTCTATTTTTAATTTATTTCTGGTCAAACTGTATTTGAATTTTCATTTACATTTTTTATTTGACCTCTGTAATGTAGAATAATATTTTATTTAAGTTCTAAATTTTGAGAGCATTTCATGATTTCTTTTGTCATTGACTTTTAATTTTATTTTTAATGTTATAGTGGCCCTAAAATATACTTGTAAGATTGAATTAATTTGAATTCACTTTGATTCTATCACCAAAAATGTATTCTATTTTGTAAAATTCCATGGGCACATTAATGAATGTACATACAACTGTTATTGGGTGGACTATCCTAAAATTCTTCATTTTATTTAGTTTGATGATAGTTTTCAGGTCCTCTGTATGCTTTATTTTCTGTCCACTTTAATCAATTATTGAAATATATTTTTATTTACTGATTGTAATAGAGGATTTATTATTTGTCCTGTCAGTTCTGTTCTGCTTTTTGCTTCATATGTTTGAAGTTCTGTTTTTAAGTGCACCATATTTTAAGATTATTGATTACTATGTATTTTCTTTTGATTTTACAAAGTTATAAAACAGATCATCACTACTTTTTAAACACAAATCCTTTAAATTGACTTTAAGATAGGGAACATTTTGAGAAACATTTAAAGAAATATATAAAAATGGCAAAAAATACTTATTGACATATCATATCTGATGTCTTTATTCCATCATGGAAGTGACTGTATTTTCCTCTGATATTATTTTCCTTATTCTCCAAATTATTTCTTTATGACTCTTTGTTGCATAACTAGGATGCTTACCTTTTTGGCTTTTGTATCTCTGACAGTCTTTGTTTCATATTCCCCACTGAAGGGCAACTTCCTGGGTAGAAACAGTTAGATTGGCAATTTTCCTTTCTGTGGTTTGCTCTTCTGGTACTTAGACATCTATCTGAAGGCTTATCTCCTTTAATTGCTTCCGGATACTGTGCTTTTCTCCCTTACTTACTTTCATGATTTCTCTGTCAAATCTGTTTTAAATAATCTCATTATATGTTTTGGTATTGTTTTCTCACACTTTCTTTGGAGCTTCCTATATATTAATCACTCAAAAAATGCTCCATGGCTAAGTGATGGTTTTTGTCTGTCTGTATATCTCTCTTGGATAATCACTATTGTTGTCTTTATCATCACTGATATTTTCTTTTCCAGTGTCAATTTGTTAATTCTATGTAGCATATTGGTTTATCTTAGGCCTTGTATTTTGCTCATAGTGATTAAATTTAATTATTTTAATAAATTTTGTATTTCTGCCTAACATTGTTGATTTTTTTAAATCTTGCTGCACTTGATAAATACAATATCTATCTTTATTTTTTGGTATTTATTCTATCTCTGTGAGATTTCTGAGTCCAACTAAAAAATAAAAAATAATGTAGTTATACTTCAGAGATAGAAAACTGAAGAGAAACTATAATTTCTAAATACCTCCTCTCTCTCCACATAGATTTATATCTCACTAACATTTTGCATTAATGTAGTGAGCTTTTTTTATTTTTTGCAATTGAAGAGCAGATATCAGTGCTTATTATTAACTAAAGTTCACAGTACTTATTAGGCCTCACTCTTGGATATGGTACATTTTTTTTTTTGTAGGTTTTGGAAAACATACAGTGCCATGGGTTCACCATAGCATTATTTTTGCCCTAAATTTCCAATGTATATTCCATATATTTATCTTTCTTCTCTTAAGTTATAATAAGCTTTGATATTTTCAATGTTTGTGTTTTTGGAAGCACATATTAAGCTGTATCTTAAGATATTTCATTTAACAATATGTGCTTCAGCTCAGTTCATGTCTTTTCTTGGTTTGATAGTCCATTTTTTTCAAATTGAATGTTACAAAGTTTTTTATCCATTCATGAACTGAAAGACAGCTCAGTTCTTTCCTGGACATATGGCTATGGAAATTATGAATTAGACTGTCACAACTTTTCTGTGCATCTTGGTGTGGGGACATAAATTTTCAACTCATTTGGGTAGATACTGTGTGATATTACATTGTATGGAAAATGTGTTTAGAGTAAGAAACTATCCAACTGTATTCCACAATGACTGTGTCATTTTGTATTCTTATCAGCAATAACTGAAAGTTCTTTTGCTCAAGGCAGGCACTAACACTTGGAATTTTAAACAATTCTAAGACTTGTATAGCTCTATTTCATTGCAGTTTTGGTTGCTAATGAGATATGACATTAATGTACTTTGTATGCTTATTTGAGACTTGTGGATCTTCTTTCATGTTTTGTCTCCATACATGTTTTTGCTAGTTTTTCAGATGGGCCATGTGATTTCTTATTGTTGAATTATGAGTTATTTGTATATTTTGCATGTCAGTCCATGAGGAGATAAATGTTTTTCAAATACTGTCTCCAGGCTGAGAAATGTCTTCATTCTCCTAATCATTTCTTTCATGTAGCAGAAATTTTACATTTTCATAAATCTAATGTCAATTTTTGTGTCATAGACCATATTTTTTGTGTTCTATTAAAAAAAATCATTATCAAGTCTGAGGTAACTGAGGGTTTCTCATGTATTAAATTGTAGAAATTTTGTAGTTTTGTATTTTAATTTTGGTCTATGACTCTCTTTAAAGTTGTGTGTGTGCATGTGTATGTGCATGTGTGAAAGATATAAGATCTCAATATCACATGTGAATGTTCAATTATTACAACCAACATTTGCTAAAAAGATGACCTTGTCTCCAATGAATTCCTCTCTTTTGCTCCTTTGTCTAAGATAAATTGATTATTTCTGTGTGGTCTGTATTAGTTCCACTAAGATATTTGTCTATGATTTTACCATACTACAGCTATTTTGGATACTGCATATAGTGTGTTTTAAAGTTAAATAATGTTGGTGCTCTTACTTTTCCACTCAGTATTAGGTTGGCTACCATAGGACTATGACTTTTTATTTAAATTTTAGAAACAAATTGTCAGTATCCATAGAATTATTGGGGTTTTGCTGAATCTATAGGTAAAGTTGTAAAGAATTGATATTTTATTATCAGGTCTTCCAATCCATGAGCATAATACACATCTGTGTTTAGTTCACTGATTTTCTCATATCTATTGTATAAATATTTTTAGATTAATATCTAAATGTTTCATTTTTAGGTGCTAACATAAATGGTGTTTTGTTTCAAATCCCAAGCTCCAAATTTCATTAATGGCTTATAAAACAACTAATGACTTTTGTGTGTTAACTTCATATTCTGCAACTTTTTCATAATTTTGTTTTGGTTCTAGAATGATGTAAAAAATAATTGTGGTATGTTAACCTGACTGTATAAGAAACAACTAAGAGATCAGTAAAACACACTTCTGGGTGTATCTGTGGAATATTTCCCAAGATGACTGGCATATAGGTCAAAGGGGAAGACCTACCAGGATTGTGATTGGTACCGTTCAATAAGCTTGTAGCATGGATGGATAAAATAGGAAGGAGAAAGAGTATATATTGAAGAGCTTTATTCTACTTGAGTGCTTACATCTTTTCTTAATATTGTCTGTGAACATCAGATTTCACTTTCTTTAGCCTACAAATTCAGACTTAAACCAGTGACTCTTTAGGGAGCTTCCAGGTCTTCAAACTTAAACTGGCATTGTATCCTTGATTTTTGCTGTTCTGTGGCTGTGAGGTTCTTAGAATGACCAGCTACTACATTCTTCAGCTCTCCAGCATCTAACAACTGCTGTGGACTCTCCTGCCACCAAACTTGTAAGCCTACTTAATAATCCCCCTGCATAAGTATCTATCTATCTATCTATCTATCTATCTATCTATCTATCTATCCATCTATATCATCTATTTATTTCCTATGTGTTGTGTTCCTCTAGAGAAATCTAGTCAGTCAGTTCTTGTTATTTCCTTGAGACTGTTTATGTAAAGAGATGTCACTATACAGCAACATTTTTATTTCATCTTTCTTAATTTATGTATCTTGTACATTACTTTTCCTCATCTTATGTTACCTAGGAATGCTAGAATGGTTTCAAATAGGACAGATGGGGAGACATATTCTTTCTTTGTTCCTTACAGGCTTTCTAGTAATTGTCCTTTATTACATTGTAGTTTCTTTTAATTTCTAGTCTGATGAAATGTTTTATCATAAATTGGTGCTGGATTTTATTAAACATGTTTTCTACAGCTTTTGATATCATCATATGATTTTTCTTCTTCAGTCTGTTAATATGAAGGCTCACATTAATTGATTTGTGAATGCTGAACAAGTTTTTTCGTACCTGCAATAAGTTCCAATTCATCAGGGTCCATAATTTTTTTTTTTTTTATTTATCGGTACCAGGGATCAAACTCATCACCACCTGCTTGCAAGACAGATGCTTATGTCGCTGAGCTAAATCCCCAGGCCCATGGTTCATAATTTTTGGTGAATAATTTTCTTAGACACTAATATTTTCTTAGGAAATTTTGAATCTATCCTGGTGATAGGTATTAGGATGCAGCTTTCCTTTCTCTGTTTTGCCTAACTATACATTCTACACTTATCTGTCACATATCATTAGAATGAAAAAAAATTTTAAAAAAGCAAATATTTTTCATGGAATCACTCAAGCTTTAGAAGATAACATTAAGACGGCTAAGTTTAGTTTGAAGCAATGATATTGTAATAGTTTAGCATATTGAGACCTACTAGAAAGCATTTAAACTATGAAGCTGGCTTCATTGATGTATATACACATGTATGGGGTGAAATAGTGAAGCTTTAGGTACTCAGCTTTTGTGGAATGGCATTATTGTTGTTTTTACTATAATTCAAAAATATACAGACACAAACCGGTTTATTTAATGGTAATTTCTTGTGGTGCAATATCATTTAGATAGACCCTAAAACGAAAGCTTTCCTGGTTGACTTTTTAAAATCTTTGTTTTATTTTCTTTGTATCCTGAATAGAGTTTTCTTTATCACATCATCTAGTAGAAATATTGGTGGGAGCTGGAGGTTGTATTGGACGGTGAGAGTAGAAAGATTTGCATGAAAAAAGCTAGACCTTTAAATTTTTATGAAGTGTAGTCTCTGAATTTGAACTGAGCTCAAGAAATCAAGGATAAAATTAATTGGACTGACGCATATTGAATAAATTAGTACATTTTAAAGTATTATTTTAAAAATCTCTTTACAAAGCATACTTTAAGCTTTAATTACCGAGCCCTGTACAGTATATCTTAGAATTTACTGAAGACTTTATTGAATTCTGTTTCCATGCTGCTTGATCCATATCACTTATTTTGATGTACTTTACTATTTCAAAGTCAGTAGTTCTAGTTGTTTTTTAACTACACATACACACACACACACACACACACACACACACACACACACGCATTCACACACACATACACCCAGAGAAATAGGGAAGTGCAAATGTTTGCCTTCAGTCACAAAAGAACATGATTTGGAGCTCTGATTAAAACAAAATTAAGTGTGATCCTAATACATAAATATAAATATATTATTGATAAAATCTATTTTAAATAAATATTAATAACATAAAAACTTCTAAAAACCACATTTTCTATATATGTGCTACAAAAATTGCCTTGCAGAATTTCTACAGTGGAAATAAATCTAATTTTAACTACCTTAACAGTCACTCTTAGGATTTTGTTTTCTTGTAATTTCTGTGGTTCTTGCTATTTTAAAGTTGTTTTTGCACAGTGCTATCTTAAATCTATGGCTCTTACAATAACTTTGCCTTCCTTTGTGCTGATTGTGGCTGCCCTGTTGACATTTCTTATTTGTTCTTCAATCTACAAAGGTCAACATACTGAGATGGCTCTTGGAGATGCCAGGCTCTCCCTTCGTTCTGCAATGAATCATTTCCTATGTGTGATTGTTCACATTTTTATTAAAGAAACTTTTTCTAGCTGCATATGATTTTTTCTCCTTACATTCCTTTGTATTTAAAATGCTTTGCTATAGCAATCTACCTCACCTACTCAGGCCATGTAATTTTTCTCTTTGATTCTTGCTGCTTGAACCCACTTGTTTTCTGCATAAAAACTTATGAACCTTGAATTAACCCTTAGTAACTAACTTAATTTATTAATCTATTCCTATCAGCTCTATTTTCCATTTCATTTGTGTTATATAATTTCAGCGATTTAATGTTCTTTTCCCTCCGATTTCTTTTCATATCCCTTACATCATGTTCTCTGGTCCTTCACATAGGATTCTCCAAACCTCCTCCCCCATCAATAAAGTCCTGTTTAGACTAAAACCTAAAATAAAATCATTCATCTCCCATGCTTTCTTACATAGTATTGTTCAGTTTAAAAATAGTTTAAAATGATGGACCAATAATGTATGGTCTTTTTTATCTAAACAGGTTCAGTTTAACATTTTGTGTGTGTGTGCATAGGTAACAAAGGTTTCTCTTTAACTGTTAGTACTATCTTTAACAATCTTATAACTATAACTCAAGTCAATCAAAAGGCAAGTCCTATTGCATACAGTTTAGTAAAATCTGTTCATCTTAGTTCAACTAGTTCTTGTTTGAGAAATAGGAAGAAGCTACAGGCAGATAATTTTACTGAAATATAGGGAATATAGAGACAATTAGCCTGTCTATGCTACAAGATGCTTTTGCTTTAACAAAAATATGAGAAAACTGTGAAAATAAATATAATATTGGGCAGCATTACAAGGGCCTAAGAAATGAACAAATACATATAAGCTCATTGAAGAACAAGAAGTATGCCAAACAGTAACAGATATCAGGGAATATCGTATGCTATGGTAACATTTTGCTTGTAATGAGCAGATACCATTTTTCTAGCATTCAGAGAGCGTCTGGAGCATATGAGGATAGTGTAAATGGAAGGACTGGACAATATGAACAGATCGTTTAAAAGACAGAGACTGGAACTCTAATTGGCACATTCTGAGTAGTGCACTGAGGAAAGTACATTTGAAAAGGTAAAATGAAACCATAGAAGAAAGGCCTTGAATGAGAGAATCAATTTTTCCCCTTAATTGGTAAATAATAGCTGTGTAATTTTAAATTGTTTGAAAATTTGAATGAGTTTTCTTGTTTTACCCTTTTGGCCTTTAAAGAAAGGAAGGGATATTTTAATAAGCATGAAGCCAGTCAACGTCCCTAATTCTTCACTGAGAAAAGTAGAAGCCAATCTTTTTGACACATTTAGGTTTCTAGAGAGATGAGCAATTGGAGTGTTTGGCATATGTATGGATGTGCAGTTTAAGGGACTCTAAGGAAGGAGAACTAACACAAAAGGTAATTCTAGGCAGAGAAATCTGAATTTAGAATCTCTTAGGTACTTCTGAATTTAGAATATAAAGTTTCTAGAAAAGACTCTGAAATCTCTCACATACTCACTGGCATGCAAAGTACACACACACACACACACACACACACACACACACACACACACAAATACAGTATTTTTAGGCATTTGAGTTTGTTTGTGATTTACCAGTTGGTATTATTCAAACTATGTACCACTGTGACTTTGTCACCACCTGGTGACAGATTGCTAAAACTTTCAATTTATTTATTAAGCATATTTAGTATTAATTTATAAATTATATATTGATCAGCATTATCACATCATACAACATAGGCATCTGAAGACTGTGGGTAAGATATTTCTGTTATTAATAGCGGAGTGAAGATTGAAGATAATTTTTCTTATGTGATATCCTTTCCGCATAGCTGGATTCCATTTTCTGTTGTTAAATTCCTTTCTGTTACATGTTAAACATCTTTAGTATACAAATTCAGCACTCAAACTGCTCTAAAATTTGACTCATTTGGAGTGTCATCTTGGTGCTCAAAAAATTTCAGATTTTGGAAGACTTCAAGTTAGATTTTCAAATTAGAGATATTCAACTGGGGAACTTGTATACAAGCATGTAAATAACTGAAAATCAAAATCTGAAGCACTGCTGGTCCCAAGCATTTTGGAAAATGGGTTGTCAAACTGTTTACAAGTTTGCAAGTTAGCATTACAGTGAAGAAAAAGTTATGATATATTTTTAGTATAAAGAATAAATTTACAAAATAATATGCACACATAAAAGATAAAACAACAAAGATTGGAGTAATGTCAGAAACAATCAACTTTCATGGAAAAGAGGAAGAGATCGTTGGATTGGGATGAAAAAGACAAGCTGAAGTAAGAAAGTTCGATTTGACAGATGCATAGATTTAAAGTTTGTAACAAGCAATGGGATATGTGTAAGATGAGTAAATAAGGTGGCTTAGCAAGGGTGTTTTTCATAGTGGGAATAAAAGTGCTTACACCAGTGATCCTTCAGTTAACACGTAGCTAATTACTTTTGTTGAATGATACTTCATGTCCGACATATGTCAGCTGTACATAAGTATGACATTTATTACTAGAATATAAATTATTATGCAGTGAATACCTTTTCATGCTATATTTTGAATTTTTAATACTAGCTACAGTGTTTTATATTCATTAGCTGTGAGCAACATTTGCCATGTATAGGAAGGTAGTAAAAGAAAGTAAAAATTGAGGTGGGTCATGTGTTAGAGGGTCCTGAATAGGAAAATAAATGTTTACTCACTGATTCCTTCCTTTTAAAAGATGAAAAAAATATTTTTGTTGTAGTAATACATACAAATTGCAATGATGGCCTAGCCTTTTTTTCAAGATTTTAATAGGTATTAATTAGTACTAATCACATAATCCTATTGTGATGGCTAAATAAG